AAAAAAAAAAAATTTTTTTTGACTTGTACAGTTTCTATAGCCATCTTACAATACTGGACTGCGCCGTTTATGAAATAGCAACCACAGACTTACTCTAACCCCACTTTTTACACCTTCCAAAAGGAAAAAGCAATTTGAAGAAAATTATCCACTCTTTTGACAATGGTGTATCACACCACAAAACAGGAGGATCTTCCTACGTTCCACTCTGTACCCTACAAACCGCGGTCGCAGCAGAATAGCAATGTTAAAAAATTGTATGAAAAAAGTCCTCGTGATGGCATAGCAAGCACGTACGAAAGACACTTACACGGCAATTCTTAACTTTCAACGACCTTTTTAAACGGACGCCGAACCAACTGTCAGGAATATCAGTAATTTTTGTATCGTTAGAAGAATATTTAAAAAAAACGCCCTTTTAGCGCCACGTTTTCATGCAAGTTTATCTATCGTTAGCAAATTAAAGTTTCATAGCATTATCCCTCACATTACCGGATAGAAAATATTAAAACAATATTCGTTGTCAATAACCGAAACATGAGTTCCAAATATTCAAGTCAAAAGAATTTGGTAGCGAAGCAAAGCGGTACAGATCGAAGAACTAACAACAATGATAATTACTCTCAAAAAATATCATTCAAACCAGCTAGCAGCAAAAAGCTTTCAATTGAACAGTTTCATGGACTAGCCAAACTGAAACATTTTTCAATACAATAATATCTGATTCAAAACTAGAAATTTGTCACTCACAGAAGCGTCAAAACGCTGCCAAATAGTCTCTGTAACTTCGTCTCAGTAATCGAATTGGAACTACTTCGTAATTTTAGAACCTTGTAGAAAAATCACATTTTCAAAAAGCACATCCTTTTCAAAGAATTTCAAACATTACTTTTAAAAAATGTATACGTCACACCACTTTCTTGAGTTTGCAAGAGATAACCGTTCAATAACATTAAATTTCTAAAAAGCTTTTTTAGATTGGGAGAATCACAAGTCCTCAAAGGTGACCATGTTTAGCAAAAAACTGCATCCCCTTGGTACTTTAAGGTGGTGTAACTCTACCACCACCACACTTTTTGAGATATTCTTCGCGATTGAGTGCTGAGTACTACAACTCGGATAAGTCTGAAAAAATCTGGAAAGTCGACTACATGTGCGATTTGATATTGAATAGCCCTTATGCAATATGATTCATACAAAAAAAGTACCGGCTGACGTGTAAGACACAACTGACCCTCTAGCAATTAAAAAAGAAACCAGCCTATGGGTAATCACTGGAACCGCCAGCTTCAAAACTATTAAACCACATTACAGCAACTGTCCTTCAACCTAACTAGACGGGAATCTCTTCCACTCGCCCTCTTATGCTGGGGTTCAGCTTAAAACTTTCAACTAAGCAAAAAAGTCATTCTGACTAACCCTAGCTTTTTTTTCCACGTTATCACCTCTTTTTCGGAAAAAGGTTGTAAACAGCTTGAGTTGTTTTTTGATATGCAACATAGCAAATGGGTCGCATTGAAAAGTCACAAACCGCTTTACTCATGAAAAAAAGATTGCACATCAAATTCTGATAACAACGAAAGTACAGATGAGAAGGAAACACATTTTTAGTCAGACTGTACAATGAGCTACAAAAAATCATTTTTTTTTCGATATATGTACAGATCAACAGATCATTTTGCAAACTGTTACTCTAACCTAAAAGCCTACTTGCTCTAGAAACATTTTATAAATGTGTTCACAAATTATAAGCTCAGCAGAAATGATGTATAGACTGTAACAACACATGGCGTCTTTACCTGTAGAGAATAAGGAATTAAGCCATCGTACTGCAAAAAAAAATATGAGGTCAAACTACCCGCATTACAACACAAGCAGTACCTCACAACACTCGCCTCTGCACACTTATAATTTTCGACATGCAACAGTTTAAAACCAAAAAAAATCAGAAATTTTTGCAATTTCAAACAGCACCAGATTTCCAACTAAGTTTCACGGTTAATTTAATTGAATATATATATATATATACATATATATGTATCAGCACTTTGAGAAAAAAAATCCTTCTCGACCTTCCGCAACGCAAACCACCTAATTCGCTAAAACTTTTCTTTGAAAAAGTTTTAACGAATATAAGTTTATGTCCCGATAAAATAAACTAACTTTCGGCAGAATGACAGAGGTTCAATGTCATAAAAGTGGAAATGAAAAATTTAAGAATCAACGTCAACCTCATTTAAACGCCGGAGAGGATTTAAAAATATGACTAGTCGCAATGAAACAAAGTGCTCACATCTCTTTTTCTGAGTGCATTTGAATCTGCTCTTAAGCATATGGCACAAGCACAAATCTCACGCAACGCTAAAATCATGTGGTGCTTTTGCTAACATTAATTGCTCTGAGCATCGCATCATGGTCGAACCCGTGAAGCTGGCAAAAGTGAGCCTGAAATAAACTTGTTTACTAACTGTTACTGGGAATCCAGATCAATCCGTTATAGAAAACAATAAAGCTACCCTCAAAGCTTCGTCCATGTAGTAAAATGCAATAACGTTCTCATGTTCTTCGGTGTGTTCAATGGCATTATAGTAACCATCATGATTGCAAAACAACCAGCACTTGTCAGTCTCCTCAGTAGCAGAGGACTTCTGAAACTGCAAAGTAACAGAAATTAAAAAACAGGTTCTACTCATCGATTCATGAGCATTGTATCCTAAGGTGAGAAAAAAGAAAAATCATAGGTACAAACCACCTCGTCAGGAAGAATATACTTATTTTCAGGCACTGGTTCGTAGTCACTGTCGGCAGAACACAGTGGAGGCGAAAGAAGTTCTTTCAGAGAAGTGCGCCGTTGCATAGAAAATAAATTGTCTCCCAAATTAAAATCATCTGAATCGTCTTCATAGTCACCGGCTTCGAATATAGGGACAGATCTATGAGTGTCTTCTTCTTCAACCCTGACTTCCTCTAACCTGCTTAAAACAATACTGTAAAACTGATACTATGCAGTACAAGGCTAATAATTCATCGAAAAAATTACAAAATCCTCTCTACCTTTCCCTCAAAACTTGTTCACTTCTGATCTCCTTAACCATACGTCTGAGTGACTGATTCACATAAGCCAATAACCAGTCATTAACGGCATAACTTACAAACCAGAAACCAAAGCTGAAACGCGAACTTGTTGAAAAAAGTAAATTTTACATGATTGACTCAGGCGACTTCAAATTTTGTTCGTACATTTCCAAGTCAAATAC